CTTGTTTTGGTTCATTAATGGTGAATTGAAGCCCAATCTTTGCATGCATGGTAGTGTTGTTGGATTTTGAGTTGTTTTCATGGCAAAATGTTACATGCATGTTCATGTCTTGACTATAGTCCATGATTTCATCATGTTTTGAAAAGAATTGGCTCCTCGAGCATCAAATCGAAGCTTTAAAATGGTTTGAATTCATGCATGTTTGCACGTTCATCTTGTTCTTGGAAAATGGCTTGAAATTGGGTTTGAATTAAACACCTTTGGGCTTTGATTTCTCAAATTGAGTTTTGAATCATGTTATTCCATGTGTTTATAAGAGGTTTCCAGAAAATGAGCCCAAGAGGATCGGTTTTAAGTTGTTAACAACTTGGTTTTGAGCTTGGAGGTGCAATCTGGGATTTCCAGATTTCGCACTTCTGCTCGAGCGGGGGGGGAAGTGCCGCTCGAGCGTAGAATTCGAGCATCCAGCATCTCTGCACTGTTTTGCAGTCCGCTCGAGCGGAGGATTAGGCGCTCGAGCGGAGTCATGTCTCACGCTCGAGCGGGAGTCGAGCGGAGATTTCACCCATCCAGTACTTTTACAGTACGCTCGAGCGGGAAAGTTCACGCTCGAGCGTGTACCTTTGTTGCATGTCCGCTCGAGCGGGGAAACCTGCGCTCGAGCGGGACTCTGTTTTTCTGAAAATGCTTTTAAATGTACATCCTTGCATCCTCATCCCATTCTAGGCATTCTTAGGCCTAGTTTAAGACATCTTAATGAGGATATAGATGTAGAACACACCGAGGCAAAGTTAGGGGTTTAGTTATTACCTTTCCCATCTGTGAAACTTAGAGTGTGTTCAATCTGCTAACTGTGTAGGGTTGGCGACTGGGGAGACACGCTCTAGCATACTGTAGCCGAACTCTGTGAGTAATGATTGTGTAAAGATATGTTCACAAATGCTTATTTTCTGAACAACTGAACTGTACTGTTTATGAACTGATTACTGATTATGAATGAATGTATGTCCTATATTCTGAACTGTATTGTGGCATCCTTAGCACCTACTGCTTACTATTACTGTGACAGAATTCTCTGTCGGTTCCCTTGTTGGAACCACTACTGTTTACTGACTGATGGCCATCATTACTGTTCGGTCTTCTAGACCTACTGTTTACTGTTATGCTAACGGATGTACCACATATGACTGTTTACTGTATTGAGCAACTGAAATACTGATTGAAATGAACTGTTTTCATTACTATAAGGACATTCATTCTTAACCTCTTTACGCTTTATGTTATTCACTGGGCTTTAGCTCACTGCTCATATATATATGTAGGTGTACAGGCACCGGATTGAAGCTAGAGGCGTCAGGGTTACTCCAGTTTTGTCAAGCCAGCCTTTGTGCCTCACTGCGAGGTTCCGAGCCTAACGTGTTAGGGCTTAGGGGTGTTTTACAATTCCCCCTTTTGTACTGTTACACTGTTTTGTATAGACTGAATGTTTACCATACTGTTATCTAGGGTTGAGCCCCTAGTCTGGATGATTGTAAATATTGTGCATACTGTTCCGTACTGTTTATGTATAAATGTATGGAAAGTCTTTTTGCATACAGACTGTCACAGCTCAATGGACACTGTTTATTTACTGTTTTGGCTTCCGCCAGGCCCTGTACTCTGTGTTACTGTACTACTGTCCTGCAGGCCTTCGGTAATCTCGGATTACTGGCCGGTTACGGTGCTAAACCCATAGGGCCGGGTTTGGGTCGTGACAGGTCGGTTCTGTGAGAATGAAGAGGCTAAATTCTCTAGAAACACTCATGAAAACCAGGAGCGTTCAAGGCCAAAATAAACACAACAGTGAGAACCACGATGTGTTAGAAGATATTTTGTGTGAAATCTATTGTCTTGGCTTACATAAACGGCTGAACAATTCATGGCATCGCGTCCATTGGTTAGCCAGTAAGTCCGATAGGTTATTACTAGGGAAGGTTCAAGGCCGAAAATTACCTATCCTGATGAAAGATATTTTTGACTTATACTCTTTCGATAAAGTCTACATATTGTTGCATTTCCGTTGTCATCAAATTCCATTCATGTGGGGGATTGTTGGAAAATGGTTAGAAAATTCTGGGTAAAACCAGAATTTTTTCCTAACTTTGGTCTAATATTTAGGTGGGACCCGTGCGTCGATTTTCGTCGGTCAAAGTGGTAACGCGTTCTATGCCGCGTTGTGACTCACGTGGTATATTTGGTTGCCCAAATCATTACCGAGTGAATGAAAAATTGAAGCCAAAGTATGCTCCATGGAAATGGAGTTTTGGTGGAAAATCTTTAAAGGTTTGAATAAGGCTTGTCCCACATTGATTTGGTGGGAAGTTTTGAATGGGTTTATAAGGCATGGGTTTGGTACTTGGGGTGTGCCCCAAGAGGTACCTAAGTGTTTTAGAAAGGGAGGTTATGGGCAAAATGGGCTAGACCCATTGGACCCAAAAATCATCACACACGCGCGCACACCGCCGTCTGTCCGGTCGGGCGGGCTGGGCTGGGCTTGGGCGCGGGTGCATGGTGTGAGGTTGGGTTGGGCTTGTCCGGCCCAATACCTATCTTTTTGGACCAAAAATCATTTGAATTTAATTTTATTTTTGGTAAAATAAAATCCAGAATTCAAATTAAATCGGAAATAATCTGGTCCGATTTTTCTGTACACCCAAACAAGGCCTTTCCCGTTTTTATCTGTTTGAATTTTGAACTAACAGATTTAAATCTGTTTAATTCAAAACCAAACAGGTTTCATACCTGTTCAAACAGGTTTGCACCTGTTCAATTCAAAACTTGCAACCACCAATACATCTATAAATAGGACAGCTCTCATTTGATATTTAAGAGTAAGAAATTTTGTACTTCACCTCTGTAAATTTATTTTTCATTTTGTTGCATTTTATTTTTTGTGAGAAAAAGTATAAGCACTTACTGTGTTCATTAGGCAAACAATTTGTAGTGCTGCTATTGTTTGTAGTTAATCATTTCATCCTGGGAGATAGACGTCCAAATTCTGAAAGCACCGAGGAGAGGACAAATCTGTCTTAAAGATACAGTGTCAAACACTAGACTTGATCAGAATAATATTCAAGATATAAATCAAGTAAGTTATTTATTTATTTTCTGTTTTTATTATTTATTTAAATTAGATTTTAATTTTATTTTTTGTAACAAAATAAAATCTGTTTTTATTTATTTAATTATATTTCTAGTTTGATTTTTGTAATCCAACTTTCTCTCCTTTCCTTTATTTCTTTTGTTTTTCTGTTTATTGTTAAGTACACAAACAGAATTAATTAATTACAGTGAAGATTGTCCAACAAATCATACTTTGACCGAGCTAATTACAAGGTCCTTTCACTCAGTCCTTTTTACTGCGGCCCACAGAACGTCCCATTATCACGCCTTGGCCTAGCTCGGCCCTAGTGCACTTAAAAACTCTCTCTCAATAGTAACAAATTTTATAAAGATGAATAATTAGAAATATAAATTTATAATAATTTTTTTCAACTATCACTGATTTATAATTTTCTCATTATAATTTAGCAATAACAATTACAGTCATGAAGTTGTGGAAAAAGAGTGTTTTTATTTTCTATCAAACTTTTCTTTTAAAGTCGTGCTAGTTAGCGGCCACTCAAGTAATTTAGCAATAACAATTACACTATTGACTTCTTTCTATATGATTTCAAAGTAAAGACAGGGGACCCTGCCTTATACTCTTTCTTTCAAACACGTTTTTGGAGAAGAAAATTTAAAAATTTCACTTTTGTTAAAGTTTGCCTAAAAACAGTTTTCAAATTTTGTCCATTTCTTGGTGGAAGTGGAATGCTACCATCATTTTCTAACCCTCTTAGCTGGGGTTTATTATGTTGTATACTATTATGTTTCAGCACTGATAAAGCAATCAATAATATTAGGGAGAATCATAAAAAGCACCCCCTCCTCTCTCTTGCTTTTTGAAAAGAAAATTTAAAAGTATTTCACTTTTGTTAAAGTTTGCCTAAAAACAGTTTTCAAATTTTCCACATTTGTCCATTTCTTGGTGGAAGTTGACTGCTGTCATCATTTTCTGACCCTTTTAGCTGGGGTTAATTATGTTGTCTACTATTATGTTTCAGCACTGATAAAGTAATCAATAATATTAGGGAGAATTATAAAAAGCACCCCCCTCCTCTCTCTCTTGCGTTTTGAAAAGAAAATTTAAAAGTATTTCACTTTTGTTAAAGTTTGCCTAAAACTAGGCCTCGGCATAGGGTTATTCGATTCGTCCAAACCGTCCTACCTGAACCGAACCGTACGCATGTGAACGGTTTTGTAAGCACATTAGGGTCGGGTGCGGTTTGAATTTTATATAAATTTCGGATTGCGGGCGGGTTGCGGGTTTGAACCGCACCCGCCCGCATTAAATTAATTAATTATTTACTTTTTTTTTTATTATTATTATTATTTTCAAATCTAACCGTCCAATGTCTATCATCATCTCACTTACTTACCTCATCTATACACCAAACCAAACAAAACAAAAAAAACCCTAATCTAATCGTCTCCCTCCCTCACTCTCTCAGTCTGCTCTCTCTCTCTCAGTTTCTCGTTGTTCATCTCTGCACCGATCACTCTCTCACTCTCTCGTTGTTCATCTCATTGCACCGATCATCGCACCGCCGATCTACTCACAGGTAAACTCTCTCTCTCAATCTGTCTCTCTCTCTCTCTGAGCCCGGTGGTTGATTTTTTTTGTTTTATATATATATATCAGATATGATCTAATCTCATCAGATCTTGAACCCTATCTCTCTGATCTAATCTGTCTCCCTCACTCTCTCATCCCATCAGATTAGTCTCATCTCTCTCTTTCTCTCTCTCTCTCGCCCCGATCGACTCACAGGTAAGCCTCTCTCTCTCTCTCTCTCTCTCTCTCGTTGATCTTTGATTTATTTTGCAACATATCAGATCTGTTAATTTTTTTTTTTTGTAAGCAACAAATCTGTTTAATGTATGTGTCTGTGTATTGAAACAGATTTTTTGTATGTGTTTTTTTGTAAGCAACAGATTTTTTTGTGTGTATTACAACATATCAGATCTGTTTTTTTGTTTAATGTATGTGTCTGTGTATTGAACCAATCTATTTTTTGTTAATTTTTAAATTTGTAGCAACAGATTTTTTGATTTAAATCTGTCTGTGTATTGAAATTGAAAATGGATTTAATTTTTGAATCTACATTGAATTTTTTGATTTAATTTTTGATCTTTGAATTGAATCTATGTATTGGATTTGATTTAATCTGTGAATTGGATTTGATTTAATCTGTGAATTGAATCTGCATTGATTTTGATTTTTGAATCTGTGTATTGAATTTGTGTATTGGATTTGATTTAATCTGTGAATTGAATCTGCATTGATTTTTGATTTTTGAATTTTGAATATGTGTATTGAATCAATTGGATTGGATGAGCACTTTGGTGACACGGGTTCTTAGTGCCTTGTGGGTATTCTCAGCTTTAACTGCACTGGTCCTTGTAATTGAACAAAAAAATAGTATTCTCTAGGAATCATTCGTTAGTGTGCTATTGTGTTAATTCTCTTAGTTGTAATTTAAACATGGTTGTTACTGCTAATCTGGATATCAAATCCTTGAACCATTTCAGAAATTTGTCTTGAACTCTGAGCATGTTTGCTTGTTCTCTACTATCTCTAGTTTGTTTGTTTTTTTTTTTTGTTGGTGATATTTGCCACCATATGCAGATAATGTTTCATGGAATTTTTTACATGTCTTCTTGGTTTTGAAGAAGCTAAGTAATAGTAAAACAAAATGGGAGGAAAAAAAAGGGTTTAAAAATAATTTTTGAAAAAAAGTTCAATCCGCAAACCGCCCGCAACCGCCCGCACATCCGCGAACCCTATCCGCACAAACCACAAACCGCATTGCGGGCGGTTGCGGATTGACTTTTTCCCAAACCGCATAGATGCGGGCGGGTCCAAATCGAACCGCAAACCGTCCCAAACCGAACCGCGGACACCCCTACCTAAAACCAGTTTTCAAATTCTCCTCATTTGTCCATTTCTTGGTGGAAGTGGAATGCTACCATCATTTTCTAACCCTCTTAGCTGGGGTTAATTATGTTGTCTACCATTATGTTTCAGCACTGATAAAGTAATCAATAATATTAGGGAAAATTATGAATATATATATATATATATATAAGAATGTAAATGAGATTTTTTTGATCACTTGTATTTCATCACAAAATAACTTACATTCTTCATATTTTAGTAATTTTTTTCTTATCTCAGTGACAAGTAATTTCCCCATAATATTATTTAAAAAAATATATTTTATTTTTTAGTTTTTATTTTTAACACCTTAAAGTTTATTAGAGCACTAATTTTGTCTTAATAGACTTTTGATGGATTATCCATTTAATGTAATTATGCTGATATTTATAAATATTTTCCTACTATTTGACAAAAAAATAAATTAAAAAGTATAGCCTTCAATTCAATGCAATAGTTTAGATACACTTTGGAGAATGGATTTGAAAATTTTGATTTGATAACTTTGAAATAAATTTCTAAAAATAATTATTTGAATCTAATTGCCTCTATCTATTTTGATGGACGAATAAAAATAAAAATAAAAAGATAATTAGAAGCAATTGCTTCTACCTATTATGTGAATGTCACAATCTTTTTTTTCCAATCCACTTAAACACTAGTGAGATTAATTATATTTACAATAAAATATTTCCTACTCCTTTTGTTAATATTCTTTTTCTTTCAACACCCAACACTAAAATTTTACACTTGAAGTCTAGCTTAAAATCTAGTCTTCAAGTACTAATAATTAGAAGCAAATGGATCTATCGTTAAATTAAAGGGACTGAACTTTCTATCATTTGTTATTTTAATTAGATGGTTTAGTCTGGCTCATTTAAAACTCATTTTGGATTCATCTCGATATTACAAACAATTTAATATATAGAATCCGTTGAGTATTTTATTCTTGTAAAAAAAATTACGTTGATCGAATATCAATAATCATTTAATCAAATCACATTTTTGTCAACAATTTATTTTTGAAATTATACTTACCGTTAACTATGTTCTTTTATATAATTGATACGTACATAGAGCAAAATAATGTATACCTGTAACTCATTGATTAAACAACAGAGAATAAAAGAATCAACGAGAAGGAAAAGAATGAAAAAAAAATGAGTTGGTATACATAATATATATGCATAATTATATATTTTGACATTGTGTCATGGGATTAAGGAATAGGAGATTTTTACACTATTATTTGGATTTCTAAGTTTGAAAAATAGAAAATTTTATTCATTTTAGAACCGAAATATTTTTTTTGGAAGTATTTTCGTTAATTTTCTTTAACTTTTGCATTTCGTACCCAGCTTTTGCAATTTTTAACTTTGAATTTGAAATTTATCTATTTTAAAGCCAGTAAAATTTCACTGACTCCCTATCTCCTAGTTAGAAAAATTTCACAAGTCAATTACTACTAATATTTCACTTAATTTTAAAGAAAGACAATGAAATTTCTCTGATATTAATAAAATTTCACTTACTTTTGAAATTTTACACACTAGCTTGTAGTAACAGTTAGTGAAATTTCGTTAATATTAATCAACAGCGCTACATACACCCACTGGGGGTCGCGCCCCCAGTGACGTGGCGCGCCCCCAGTGGCTGAAGACTTAAAAAAATTCACTTAATTTTAAAGAAAGACAATGAAATTTCTCTGATATTAATAAAATTTCACTTACTTTTGAAATTTTACACACTAGCTTGTAGTAACAGTTAGTGAAATTTCGTTAATATTAATGAAAGTTTGTTAAAAATACAAAAAAAAATGAAAGTTTGAAGTTTCACTCACTAACTTTTAGCGGGAGACATCATTGACTTTTGAAATTTCACTTACTCATAAATTTTGTATTTTTTTTATTATTATAAAATTTTATATTTATAATTAATTTTATTTGATAAGTGAATTTAAAAAATAAAAATTTTATAAAAAAAATAGATATCTCAATCAAAACTTATTGATTTTCTTAGTTTTAAAGTCTATTCCTAATATGATATAAGGCTTGATAGATATTTCTGTAACGCTCTCAAAATAATAACATTAAACCCATCAAATAAGACATTCATTTACATATGAAATAACCACATTCTTCTATTCATCAGTGTTTCATTACAAAAGTATTACATATTAACAACAAAAGCAAAATGCCCTACGGGCTTACAGCTTTCCAAGTTAACACTTGGTTACATCAAAAGAGTACTAACTTATACACGTTAAGCCCTTGGCTTGAATTTACATGTAATACATCAAAAGTAAAACGACAAAAAGGTATGTCCGTCTCTAACCTCCCAAGCTATGTCCTTGGAGGTGACATGCTACCTGTACCTGAAAATGATATTCCCATATAGGGTGAGCCACAGCCCAGTAGAAATACACTAAACCAACCATGAACAATGACTAAAAGATTAGCAATTAATAGATGGCCAACACTGATACATTCACATAAATTACCCATTTATGTCATACGACTTATGAGTCCAAGTTACTTTTCATTTTCCCTTTTTCAACAGATAAGCATGTTAGCTCTATCATTATTACAACAGATATGTATAAAAACTATATCTCACATTCACAGATAAGCATATAAGCTATATCCACATTCTCAACAGATATGTGTAACAACAATATCCCATATTCACAGATAAGCATATAAGCTGCATCCACACTTCACAAAGATAAGCATATAAGCTCTATCTTCACTTTTCTAGACAAGCATATAAGCTGTATCTACGGAGTTCATCCCCTATCTTCTCCCAACACTATCCGGTTTAGAGGTACATCCCCTATCTTCCCCTAAACCGCGGAGTACATCCCCCATCTCCTCCTCTACACATAACGTATACAAACACATTGGTTCTATATACAATCACTCAACGCATACAGTTAATGTATTCTATTAACCGTCAAATTCCATGACACATTCCATTGATTAGTTTCCGTTTGCCTAATCATCATGCATTGTCTACAACAATCACGACTATCCTCCACCGATAGCCCAAAGCAATTATTTCTAAACAGAAAATAAATGCACAATGGATATTCAATCAACATTTCATTTCGGTGAGTGATAAATAGCTCAACTACACCCTTTAACCCCATATATTCCCAATCTCACCAATTCCATTTCATTTCCTCATTTCCCTCAATTAATTATCCCAATTAATCAAACAATGTAATTAGGTCATTTCCATAATTAACATTTCAACCCTTAGGTCCCATTTTCATTAATGATTCAACATTTATTCCATTTCTCTATGCCAAACATGCATCTAGGTTTATTATGAATAAACCCCAACTTTTGTAAAATAACACAAAAGCCCCAAACTTTTACCAAATTACCAAACCAACCCCAATATCTCAAAATACTAAAATTTAAAGACAAAATCCATAGAGAGGAGTAGGATATCCATACCTTGAAGTTTGAGCCAAAAAAAAGAGATGAAGACTCGCATAGAGAGGAGTAGGATATCCCTACCTCGAAGTTTGAGCCAAAAAGGAGATGAAGATTTGAAGATCAACGTACTTCAAATCCAAACTTTTTCAGATTAAATCGAAGCTCTCAACGCCCTCTATCTTTTTAACAAAGGCCCTAGGCTAGATTCACACTCTAGGGAGATCAAATCTTAGAGAGAGTGTAAGTTTAGAGAGAGAGAGTCTCGGATCTAGGGTTTTTAATAAAAAATGAAAGTGAAAAAGTGATGTTTCAAAACGCTACTGTCCGCTGATATAAAACCCGCTCGCTCGAGCGAAGCCTTGGTCGCTCGAGCGACCAGACACAGAAAAC